CATAGACCTGCTCAAGGAACGGTTTGGTCAACCGCAAAAAATTATCAATGCACACATGAGAGCACTTATGGAACTGCATGCCCCGAGAAACGACGCCATAAGTTTAAGAAATTATGGAGACTGCTTGGAATCTCATGTCAGGAGTTTGGAGTGTCTAGGACAAAAACAAGAGATGTACGGAGCTTTACTTACTCCAGTCATAATCAACAAGCTACCAGCTGAAATCCGGAAAAACATTGCACGTGAGTACGATGGAGACAACATTTCACTACACAATCTTCGTAAAGCTATCAGCAAAGAAGTCAAAATCCTTGAATCAGGCCAGATTGAAAACAGCGATCGATTCCACGCAACAGCAATGTTTCTTACCGGAGCCTCAAAGAAACAACGCCATGTTCATAATGGAAACAACCAGAAAACAAAAGAGTCAACTCCTTATATCGAAACAACAGAGATAAAGAGCCGCCCATGCATTTATTGTTGCACAGAGAATCACTTTCCAGGGGACTGTAAGAAAGTTACAGAAGTAAATACAAGATTCGATATCTTAAAACAGAAGAAAGCGTGTTTCAACTGCTTAGGAAACCACCGTGCCGCAGATTGTAAATCCCGCAACAGATGTAAAAAGTGCCAGAAGAAACATCACACAAGTATATGCGACATGAAACTAACGAGGGACGTAGACGAGCCAGAGCCCACCAGATCAACAAGTGTCAACATTGTAGGAACGAGCAAAGCAAATACTACAGAAATGAACGTTGAACAACGACATAAAAGTGTTTTATGGAAATCAGCTTCCACTCCTATGAGTCGGACTGTGAACTCCATTCAACAACGTAGCAAACTGACTAACGAGATACAGCAACTTAAGTCAGAGCTAAAGACTAAGACAGAAAGGATGAATACGTTGGAACAAGAAAATGCTATTATGCTAGAGAGATTGTTACAATTCAACCAACAAAGAAATTTTCAGACTCGTGTGGAGAATGGGATGAAGGATATGATGGAACATATAAATAAACTTGCGCATGAAAACGGACGTCTGCATAACGAGGTTCAGGAATTAAAGGACCAAGTTGTTAATATCAAAACCTACAGCACTCACTCGGAGCATCTTAATGCTAAAAACATCAGTCTTCAGTCACGAGATGATTACGCCCAAAGGCAAATAAGTGATCTAAATATCAAAGTACAGACACTTGAAAATCAACTAGAAACCTCACAGGACCCCGTGGAAAGAAGGGAGAAAGACAACACGTTCGCCGTAAGGATCCTTGATGACGAAACTCAGATGACAGAAAAACGTACAGAGGCTGAGGAGAAGGAAAAAGAAAAATCACAGAAAAAGAATCTTAGGGACATGGCAGAGATAATAACAAAATGCCAATCTACGGACTCGAAACATGGAGCTGGAGAAATCTAACACAGAACTACGTCACAAACACTCCGAGGAACTCATACAGGGGAGAGACGGATTCGTTAGAGCTGCCACTTTACGAACCAAAAATGGACTTACCAACAGACCAATTGTGAAACTATATCCAATCGAAGTGAATGAGAACGAACTTAAAATACTATCTTCTGATCGAGTGTCAAAAACAAAAGCCAAAGAAAGAATCCGTGAATGGACCTCTTAATTAAGTGATTATTAACTTGTTTAATTTCCATGAACTGTTAATTTGATTTGAACTTTCTAATATTCTAGTATAATTCATTTCGGTGCCCGGAGTGTCACGGATTATCCGCGGGTTTATGTAACGTACGTTAACGTTATTGTTACGTCACAATACTGTACGTTATGTTTCTATAGTTAATAACAGAGTCTAAAATAAACCACTATACGATCAAGACGCATTTCTATTCTTTCCACAACATTTTGGTACTCATCTGTGTTTGTGATTTCTTCTTCTATATCCTCTTCAGATAAGGCGTCTAATATTCGTTCATTTAGTTCTTGTAGCGTTTGTCTTTTATGCGTTAGGGACTTTCTGATTATTTCGATTTCCTCCGTTACTTCGCTGGCTGTATTTTCTTTCAAGTCCAAAAATCGTCCGAAAAGTTTCGTCACCGCTGATCTGTTACCGGCCCGTATGGCTTTTAGTCTTCCTTCCATTTTACGTATTATGTAAACATTCCGTCGATCACGGCACCAAAATGTTGTGGAAAGAATAGAAATGCGTCTTGATCGTGTAGTGGTTTATTTTAGACTCTGTTATTAACTATAGAAACATAACGTACAGTATTGTGACGTAACAATAACGTTAACGTACATTACATAAACCCGCGGATAATCCGTGACACAACTAAAACATGCTTATGAATAACGCATTTTCCCTCATGATTTTTTTACTCTTAGAAAATAAGATAAAATAATAGATATATAAAACTAAATCAAAAAGCATCATGATTCCAGCTGATTACATATTCAGACGTATTCTTCTCATACGAACAATTTCACATTAGACAGAAGTTTGAAAATATTGTGAATATAACGAAGTGATTGAATAAAAAAAACTCTCAAAAACCATCCTATAAATAGGCATAAAACACAATGCGACACTGCAAATTCAATTGGAATGATCAGGTGCCTAGGAGGAGTAAGCATCTCCTGTCAATCTGTTTCACTCTATCCATGTAAAATGATCAGTAGACGGAAAAACCTATTCGAATTTAGTTTAAAAAGACAACTGCCTTACAGATTGTATTAAGGAGGTTCGATCCTGCGCTTTTGAGCAGATTTTGGTCCGGGCCTTTATTTAAAAAAAATCTGCATCAATATTCAGTTTTAACATTGAATATGGATTCTACAATACAAATTAAACTATATCCAATGAAAAAAAAAACGTCGATTAAATTTCATTCAAATAGGATTAAGCAAGGAACTATAGTTTGTGGCGGAAGGTTTTTCAGAAGAAAATGATCAATTTTTCCCTTTTGAATATATATATACGGTGCTGTTAAGTTTAGATACCTATTTTTCACTGCTGGTTTCACATAGAGCGGGGGGGGTGGGGGGGTGTTACGGTGAAATGTTATGCTGGTTCTAAAATATCTATTTAATTATTTCTTATGAATTCTTACATCACATTGTAACAAATATAGTAAATATATTCTGAAAGTCAAGGAAAAATGTGATTCAATTTTAACATAAAATGAACATCTTTTTAGTAATATCTAAAAATTTACATCATAGACCCCTACTTTTGTTTTTCATTTGAATCATTTCTGAAAATATAAGATAACATCGATCAATATGTTTTAATTCACCAAAAGTTTAAGACTTTTCTTGCTTGTAAAATTTCACTGCCGGAAAAATCACATTTTGTGAGTTCAGAAACGTCAAATAATTGATTATGCAAAGTAATTTGATACTTTTTCTTGGTTTATTTTGTCCCATGATTTATTTGGATTATGAAAAAAAGAGGTTCTCATTGCTTACAAGGTCAATATAACAACTACAGAATTTACGAAATGCTTACTTTTGACGACGGTGTTGAAATCTCTGGAACTTCAATGTATTTTCCTGCATTTGCATCAGTTTTGGTGCATTTTCCTGAGTAAGGTAATAATTGGGAGATACAAACCCCTTGAGGTAATAGTGAAATGCTACTCCTATTTCGATACTACGTAAATTATTTAATGAAAAATATTCGTGGAATTTTATTTAAAATCATATCAAAATTAACCCTGATACCTATAAGCAATTTAACATTACCTTATAGAGGAGATTAAGAAGATATTTAAAAAATCATTTTCTTTGAACTGTAGGCAATATTAATTTTTTTTTGTCTGATTGGAGGAAACTATGATGGCCGATACTGTTGTGTTTAACGTGTACTACGTTTCGAATGAAACTCGACTACAAATTACACTCGACACTAAAAGTGTACAAAGTGTACAGCGTCATTGTAAATTCCATGTACACTCTACACCAACATTCTGTGTAAAATTGTCAGGAAAAGGTTTACTCTAAGGCCATAATAAAAATATTCCTAGATTCTCATCCCCGCCCGCCCCGATTTTATACCCCCGCCTCGATTTTTTTTATTTCTGTTTTTCTTCGTCTTAATTCTGATCGGAATCGGTATTCATCTACCATTCTACTTTCGTTTTAAATCCCGCGAAAGTTGACATGATTTTGACAGCTGAAAAGACGGTAATTGCTGTAATACATGCCTATATATTTTAAACAGGGGTCATTGGTTGAAAAAGATCGGTGAAGATGTGAAGTAAGAGATAATTGAATCTTTACTATGACTTTTATTCGGGCATTGTAGATAAAATTACACCGATTGACCAGGTCAATAAAAAATCTACAAAATTGAAAAAATAAAAAATATAAAATAAAAGCCGCCCGCCCGCCTCCATTTTTAAAAAAATTCGGATGAGAATCTAGCAATTTATTTATTATGGCCTAAAGGTGGTATCAAGTAACAAAATGGAACTCCCTTATCTTTACCAGTATTTCTTTATTTTCTTATTTGAACAGGAAGATTAAAACATGTTTCTTCGTTGAGTTTTTCATAAAAATATACCCCCATACACCAATTTGACCACGGTATACTTGTATTTCACCATTAACGGGATTTTTTCTCTCTCATTTTTTTTTATATTTAAAGAGAGGCCTTAATTGTTATGGTAACTATTTATGAAATTTTTAATTCTGTTGACATTGCAATCGAGTAATTTGACATCTGCGACTGAAATTGAATCCCAGCTGATTTTCAAGGGTTCTTTGTCAATTAATGCTGTTTTGTTTTGTGGCATCTAGTGGTTTTTTATTTGGTACCATATGCAAAAAATATATATCTCAGAATTCCCACATGTTGTTTAAAGGTATATAAAAACTGCAAATTCTGTCCCTTCGCAAACAACTAGAAGGACAGGATTTTTTAACAAGTTAAGTATACATTTTTTGTACTTGTGACATATTCATTGAATTAAACAAAGGATTATTTTTGATTCAGTTTTAATAATTATCATTATTGTCTTTTAGGACTCCATTACAACATGGATAAGAAGACGTCATTATGTCTATTTTATATTGCTCTCTTGGTTCTTCCTGCCCCAATCCTTGCTGAAGTTAAGGCTGAGAAAGAACGGGAAAGACGCCAAGCTATAGCTGTTCCGTTGGCCTCTATCGCAGGAACATCAGTAGCCGCCCCTGTATTTGCAGCACTTCTTGCTATTTATGGTGCTTATACATTAGCAAAGTATGGAATACGAGTAATCTCAAGTAGGTTTTCTTCTCATTTAAATATATCTATCAATAAGGATATGAAATATTAAGGTAGCCTATAGCAATGTTATAGCCATTAACTGTAACAATCAAGGAGTTTAATAACAAAAATTATTATACTTCTGTTAAAATGTTTCCTATATAAAGTTCAGAAGGTTAAATAGCTGTCTTTTATAGTTCACGCATAGCAAAGCTATACCCCGGGGTATAGTTTTTGCTATCCACCCTCAGAAAATTTTCATGCAATTTTTGCCTCCAATTTTGATTTCCAGCATTAAATCTTTCGAATGGTGATGTCATAATGACTTCAGTAGCATTGTGACGTCATCAGGATTTCAGATTATTCTTGCAGTATTATCTTACTCCAAAAAATTCAAACCTCAGAAATTATATTATACATCAGTATAATAAAACGCTTATCCACTGTTTGTGAGTGGGATAGCTCTTTTATCAAACCCGCGACAGAGAACTATTCCCCGAGGGCTTCCCCGAGGAGCTATCCCACTCACACCCAGTGGATAAGTGTATACTATCAAATGAAGATACATTTCAAACAATTATGACATATGAAAAAATGAAGACAAAACAAATTTTTATCATTAATTTGTTGCATTTGAATTTTACAAAAACAAGCTACTTTTCAACATTTTTCGCTGAAAAAAATTACAATTTGATTAAGTTTGTTCCCTGTTCATGGTCTTGTAGCTATTGTATCTATTTTTGATTTGAATTGGAAGAATGATTGAATAATCAAGAATATTTCAAACAAATCATGCTCCGAGTCTACTTGTAGATAAAGACAGCCATCCGTGTGGTAGAGGTTATTGTAGAAAAAGATGCCAATCACATGAGAGGATTGACTGGGGCCTGACAACAGGCTGTGGTGACTATTATTGCTGTGTGTAGAAGATCAGGATTGTTCTGATTGGTCATTGTCGCTCAGCTGAATAACATTCTATCCAATAAAAACGTCCGTATTAAAATATTATTTTTTTCATATAATACCATTCCAGGCATAGACTTTAGATAGTGGAGGTACTTGATTTAATGAAACATGGAAATTACAAACAGTATTCAAGATCAAAAGTCCATAAAACAATAGGAGCAGAGGAAACGCGGACCTCCAATACATCGCAAGTGGGATCAGGTGCCATGTAGGACTGAGCATCCCCTGCCGACCGGTCACACCCGCCGTGTGCTCCTTGTCATGATCGGGAAATAACGGAAAAATCCGTCGTCAATTTAGTGTATCAATAATGGACTAACAATTTGTATGAAAAGCGTCAGTCAACATGATAAATTGTATTTGCTGACAAGGTCATTATATCGACATAGAACTTACGAAACAATGGCTTCAAACGAGACAGATGAAATTCCTGTTTCATCAACTAGTTTTTAAATAATATACCTCGTTTTAGAAATTGTTTATACTTAAATAATGGAGGTACATTATTTATGCAATATTCGTCATTTTGGTAGGTTTTCAATTTCTAATTTCTTGATTCGGTGTTTGTTTCTTTACAACAAATCTGTGCTTTTTTTCGTGTCGATAAATCCGAAAAAATACAGTATTTAAAAATCGCCTAATATATATATATATATATATATATATATATATATATATATATATATATATATATATTTATATATATTTATGAAAAAAGCTTGTCAACATTCAATTGTATTTACTAACAAGATCATTGCATTGACTATGGAAGTCGTGAAATGTTGACTTTAAACTAGATTATTGATATCCTTGTTTCATCAATTCATATATAAATAGCTCGCATTTGAAATTGATCGTACGAAACGCATGTTCTTGTGTATTGAATTCTCTGGGAGAGATGAGCTTCAATTGATAATTGTACATTGCTGCATAAATAAGAGAAGTTGACGATTGAAAGTTGAAGTCATCCCGTTAATCATAAAGCTTTGTTGTTAGGTTACCATTAACATTTTATTTAGTACAAAATCTTAATATATTTGATTAAGATTTTTTTCGGAGTGTGTGGTACCTTTAATTTAGAATCTAATAAACATGGGATAGAAATTGATGTTGTATTTTGATTAAATTTCATTTTTTTATAATCAAAATTTTTACATGGACATTTGTGATAAATAAGATGAGACACATGTTTTACTTTAAATGATATTATTACAAAGACGACTTTTAAGTTCATAAAAATTTAACTGCCTTTTATTATGCAAGTAAATATGCATCATTTTTTTCACAACTTTTGAGACCTGGTTTATTTATTATTCATGTTGATATTATGAACAGTTTTATTCATGTTAAGATGAAATTTAAATTGTCTGCATACTTTTATATTTTCATATCAATCTAAAATACAAAATTTATTGTTTCCCTTTAAAAATTCTGTCCAATATAAATCTATACTTAAAAAGTCTAACATTTCCAATGTTTTACTAACAGGGCATTAAAAACTATGTTTAACCGCAAAGTGAGGTATTGGACCTGTCGATAAGATGTTGGAAAACTTGCGTCGCAGAGTTGGCGAAATCAGCTATATCTTATTGGAGTTCGACAGAACTATAGTGCGGGTAAACGATATTTACATCATGATTATATCAAAATAAAAAGTAAAAAGTATAACAAAACATCTATTGCGTGTGTTCTCGGGTAAAATGCGTTTTGTCGACCCAAGAACAAAACGGCCTCACGCAAACAGATAGTTCTTGGGTCCGACAAAACACATGTTGCCTTCGAACATAGTCAATAAATGTATATTACGCTCTGTATTATATATAAACTTTTCTGCAGAATAGATTCAAAATACACTTGTCGGTATTTGTACAATTTACATTTTTTAACTTTTATAGAGTAAGCCATTCGGGGTAAAAAGAAAGTCCCTTTGTCATTTTGATGATGACTCACTTTTAAATGCAAAATTGCAAATTGCATACACTTTGCAATTTTGCATTTAAAAGTGAGTCATTTACCCCGAATGGCTTACTCTATAAAAGTGTGCAAAATAAAATAACCTACTTGTGTTAGCTATGTACACATCAATGGTGAGTGAGTAAGACATCCTCACCAGCCGCCTGCTGTTTCTCAATATGGATAAACGGAAAAATCCGTTGTCAGTTCAGTATGTTAAATAATGGCCTTACAATTTAAATCAAAAAAAAAATAGTCAAAGTCAATAAAAGCCCTGTATTTGCAAAATAATGGTCAAAGTATTGATCAAAGAATTTGTAAAATATTTACTTTTAAAATTTAAATAGATTGATAATACTCTTGTATCATTAGCTTGTTGTTAAGAGTCTGTCCCGTTTTAAATTCTTATCAGACTAAAATATGCTCTTGTATATCGAATCAAATGTGAGACATCAATCCCATATGCAAGTAACAATGATATATTGCTTATTAACTGCATCATTTCAGTTTACAAAATTTATCGTGGTGAGTGCAAAAAACAGATCCCTAAAACCTTAGTAAAAACAGCAAGGGGTGAAATCAGATGCCCAAAGAAGTAAGGATCCACTGTCGACAGGACCCACACACTGTGAGATTCTGTATTCACCAGAAAAGTTGAGATCACGTTTATCATAAGATTATCATCATTGTCTATTTGTGATAAACTATCTAATAATAAAGCAGTTGTGTCAGATTTCATGGTGTCTTATTTTGAGTTTAGTTGGATAAAATTCAAATAAAATACGTCGAATTTAAAGACACGACGAGGGACCTCTTCTTTTCCATTTAATTTTTATAGAATAAATTCTGCTGCAAATTAAAACAAAAACAGGTCACTCTACAACTAATTGGGCGCAATTTGCACCCATATGAAATTTAAAGAATGTTAGAAGACTATACATACCGGTATGTCATATCTTTACAAGCTTAACAAGCTTTATCCTATATATTAATCCTATTGTTTGTTCTTTTGTTGAACCACATGTTATTCTTACCCACTTTGAAGAAAAAAGCACATTCAATTAAGTTACATAAATAAATTTTCAAAAAAGTGCTGTATTTTACAGTTGTGCGGTCTTATAGCATATATGGCTCTGGCTGCAGGAACTGCTAGACTATCGGAAAAAGTTCCTATTTTTACATATGTCTGTGAAAGGTTTCCATGCAACCACATGTTCATATGAATGTTTTCGTCTGTTTAATTAAGGTAGGATTCTTCTCATACTTCTTGTATTTAAAACTTAATGAAATTTTCACAGAATCAAGAAGACAATATCACTAAGTGATGGTATCAGTGATATTAAATTTGACCTTTTTATATTAGAATCAAGGTCAGGTCAAGATCATTACCTTTTCCCTGGACATTAAGAATAAAAAATTACTCTTGCCAATTATGCAACCCCTACTTGTATTTCAAAAGATTGAATTTTTTCTGTTTGCATAAAAAGATACTCCCATATAAGGTCTATAAGATAATATTACCAACTTCACATAAATCATTCAACTAAAACGGATATTGGTTTATTCTAATTTTCTCTTCTTTTATTAAATTTTTTAGGATATATTATTTATTTTTATATGCTTCCTATATTTTAATTTTTCTTATGTTCACATATGCTAAAGTTGTCAAATAAAGATACAAAATGATACAAAAACAAAAAGTGTTGACCGTTTAGTAAAACCCCTGTCACACCGGGGCTGCGTCCTCACGGCGACTGCACGGCGTCCTCAAAAAAATGCAAAACGCCGAGGTGATCGCAGGTAGAGTCTCCTACAGCGCCGTGACAACGCGGCGAGATCTCCACAGGGTCGCGTAGGGTCTCCTAGAATGCCAGGGGACGGCGATCACTTTGGGCATGCACAAAGTACGCTCCGTGTGATCGCAGTCTGATAAGAACGCAGTAGAAACGTAGTATGATCGCCGTAGCAGCGCGGTGAGATCTCCAACAACGTAATGGGAGCTCCGTATGAACGCCGTGAAGACGCACATGATCGCGGCACGAACGCAGTGATAGTAGACTGCGCTTCCACGGAGACCTCACGGAGATGTCGCGGAGTCTTTGGAGATGTCACTGCGTTTCTATCGCGTTTTTACGGCGCTTCTAATAAGATTTTTCGTCTTGTGATTTTTACGACTGCGATTACATGACGACAACACGGAGTTGTCACTGCGATCATTGCGCTCCCATGGCGTTTCTACATCGTCCATGGCGATCACAATGCGCTTTCACGGCATTGTTAGAGCGTTGTCAGCCATCTCACAAAACAAGAGCAGTAGGATCATACATGTATTTGATCAGCAAAAAGTCCAACGTATTTGTTGCACTAGGAGCATTTAAGTGAAAAAAAAAATGGAAGAGAAAATTACACCAGAACTTGTTATGTTGTTTCACTTAGTAGAAAACTTTTCAGTGTGTTTATTTTTTTTTACATTCATAATAAAATCAAAGAAAATCTAACAACACATCTGAACCGATAAAATTGAAAAAAAGGAGTTTAATCATAAAACTATTAATGATTTAGTACGAAATTATTTAAATAGAACATTTTTAATTATCAAGAATATTTCTTGGCATGATTAGAAGTTTTTTCATCGTGTAACTTGAATCTTTAAACAAAAATGTTTTACATTCCTTCTGAATATATATCAATGAGTATAGAACGCATTGTGAACGTATTGTGAACGCAGCCAGCGCAGTGAGAACGCCTTGAACGCGAGGTGAAAACTCCTAACGCGCTGTGAAAACTCCGCGGAAGCGCAGTCAATCGCCGAGAGATCTCCGTGGGAACGCAGTAGAACGCCGTGAGATCGCCGTAGAATCGCGTCCGTCGCCGTAGGGACGCCGTGACATCTTCATATTGTGAAAATTTTATAGAAATTTGTGCAATTTTCCTGAGATTCCACTGCGATTTGAAAAATTTAATAACGCCGTAATGACTCCATGTGAACGCAGCTTGGTGTGACAGGGCCTTAAGGGGGGACCTATGTCGCTCTACGTCAAGGCAGCGTTATGTGACGTCACAATAGC